TTTTAGCTGAAAACTAGATTTCTGTTGATTTAAAAGCGTTAGTTTTAGAATTAATTTCCACCAGGGCAGTATTAGCACAGTTCAAACAAACAAACAAAAAAATCTGCATGAAGAATTGGGAGAGAAAAATTTCTTTTTTCAGGACATGCGCTAAGTTTATCTTAGCCATCCTATGGAGATGTCATTGCTGCACCTCCCAGTATTGTGTTTTCTTTACCAGTCAATGAGGGATTTGGTAGTTGTCTCTCTGTAGACAATGAAATACATAGATAACAAGATAATAAGCCAATAACACAAAAAAACGTGTTTCTTTATTTCAAAGATTGAATTCCTTTAATACCCATTAAAAGTACTAGCTTGCCCTTTTAAAATAATTTTTGGGGAGGAAGGAATTTGAATCAGATAAACTAGTTTCATGCCTTTGCCCACTCTAACCTGCAAGATAGAAATAAAATCCTAACTTGCCTCTTAAAAAACTCTTTGAGACCCCCTAGTTTATTTCTGGAAACATGCAGCTATGATACTAAAATTCTCCTTGTGTGATACTGTATCATCAGACATGAACTAGTTATTCCAGCATATAATTTAAAACGAATGGTGACTGTATGCTGTACATTTTAAATACAGTACTGAAAAAAAGTTCTACATCCTTAGAGTCAGAGTTTGTGATCATAAAAGAAAAAAGAGATGATTTTAGTAGATCTGCCTGAGAATGGGATGATAGCCAGTTTCTAGAAGATTACAGGAAATATAATAAATTACACACCTATCTAGAGCATACAAGAAATAATATAACAAGGAAGGAATAAGTTTTAATGGAGAATCTTTCATTAGTGATTATATAGTAAGATTCAGTGAATCATGATGAAGTAGTTGCACATATATATAATTTCTATTAATAAAACAAACCAAAATATTAAAGGTATGCTCTTGATTACTTTGCATTGCCCTATAATCATTAAAATTCAAGAGCTATGCCAGCAACAATCCTAAATAATAAAATTAAAACCCGCTCAAATGTAGTCTGTAAATAAGTCTTCAGACATAGTGCAAAGTAAGAACAATTAAAGCTTTATGCATTCAGAAAAAATGTCGTGGTCAGGAACATTCTGGAGAAAACAACAGCTGGTATATCCTGTTGTAAGTAGGTCATTCACTAGGGAAACACAAGAACTGGAAGACTGAATTGTCAATTTAAACAGTGATCTAGAGGCTATTTTTCTGATTTTTTTTTTTTTTTTTTAGGAAATAAAATTCAGTGTCCAAGATAAAGGCAACCTTCTCCACAGGTTAGCTTTAGAAGAGAAATGATGGTCCCAGATTTCCACTACAACATCTATGGAGTCAACATTTCTTGATGGTTTAGGAATGACCTGGGATGACTTTTCCAATTATGCTTTGCAAACATGTAACCACAAGAGATATTTAGTTCCTGAGAAATAGACACAAGCTGTGAGTATTGCTGGGCAATTTTGGACTCACAGAAAAAAAAAATATATGTATATCTCACTTCTCAAGAAAGTATAGAGCAAGAAAGGGAGTCTCCTAATATGTTTTGGACATCATCTTGGCTAGAAGGCAGACAGCTGGAAATGTCCTGATCTCAAGTCAGCTGATACACTTTTTCAGACTTTATATTTTCTGCATGGAACAACCAAAATAATCCGGATACACAAATGCAGTGACATACTTCATTCATCTCCCACTCACACTCCATAAGCTAACAGTAATACAGTAACTGTCATACCTAACCTTAATCTGTCAAGGGAATGAACTCTGTTTTCGTTGTAAATCTGAGCATATACATAGCACATACACAGGAGGACTGGTTCTAAAATCTTATGCAGAGAGGAGTGGATTCACAGCCCTGAGCCAGTTACTCAGTAGATCTGCCATCTCCCAGGAACTGGTGTCCCCATCACACAACCTCACTGCTACCAAGGAAGGGACTTTTCTATTTCGTAAGGAATTTGGCCACTATGCAGCAAGGATAATAGAGACACTGAGAGACAGCAGAACACAGAATATTTTTTACTGGTTCCCATCTACTAACAGCTTTATCCAAATTCACCAATGACCAGTATAGAAAAGTGACTTCAGAAAAAAAAAAAAAGTGAACAAAAAAAAAAATTGTGTCTTTCATCTAAAAAGCTACCAGAATCTAGAAAGAATATTAAACATTTTTCCCTCTTCACTCTGCAAGTGGCTCCTGGCACAAGATGTATTTGCTTCTCAACACATCTAGAACAATATACTACAAACATTACTACTTACCCCGCTGACTGAAAAGTCAGGCTTTGAAAGTCAGGTTTACTGAGACCATTATGGTCAGAGGTTATTCCACTGGAAAAAGCAAGTATCTAGCAATATGCTAAAAATAACTGGTAAAAACAGATTCCAAGAAGACCGGACAACAGAGCATGGGTATGTCAAAATGACTTACAGCAGACATGTCCAACACGTGGGACAGCTAGTAACATGCCCCGTGCCCTGCCACCACGCCAACATATTTGTGGCTCTTCCCCCACCAACCAGTCCAGCCAAACCACTGAAACACTGGTCCAAGATAGTTCCTCTTCATTCAATGCATCCAAAAGGTTGGACACTTACATTATACAGATATTGGAAATAAATATTTGAAAGAGTGTTTTGGCTGAAGAAAAATTGGTACAAAAGGCCTAATTAAAAAAACTAGACTAGAGCAAAGGCTGAAGAGACAGCTAATTATGTATATTTGAACTACGCTGAAAAATATCTATTTTCCTTTTAATGCTTTTGTTACTTCTAAAATAAAATGGCTGATTTTTGAATTGTAAGAACTCAGAAAAAAAGTATGTGTCAATTTATTTACAAAATGGAAAACAGGCAGACAAAATGACTAAAATATATGATTTCAACAGCAGGGATTCTAATTTACAGCTCAGTGCATTGCCTAGAATGACTGTTCATGCCTTTGTAATTTCTCTGTTTTATTTAGAGTACTCTTAATAAATTCAACTTCCAGATATACATAAAAAATAACAAAAATAATACTAATAAAATAACTCCTTATCCGAAAACCATAGTGACTGAAATACATCTACTATATGCACACAGTGGAAATGATTCATAGAAATGATTCAATAGAGGGAAACAAAGAAGAAAAAAAAAAAGGCGTAAGAAATAAAACTTGGTTTTTGATATTCTTTTTTACAGAAGTTCACAGTAATTATGTGGTATACCAGCTTTCTAAATCCTCTGTTTTCTTGTGCAATATAGACTAATATTGGACCAAAATCACAACGTCCTGAATTTATATTTATATTACTCTTTCATCATATCTTTTGTAAGATATAGCATCTCCAGAAATTTCATTTTGGGCTTCTTTTTTCTATAAGAAATCCACTGAGACTCTCAACTTCTAATGCCATTTAATCAGTCTGAAAAATTTTAATGAGCTCTTACTAGATCTGATGCAGAGAATATTCATAAGTGTTAGATCGGTTAATTAATTTGAAATGGAATAAAATGCTAGGAAATACACTTTTAAATTAAGAAAGATTTAAATCATTTGGAATTTTTTTGACACACTGATTCTTCATGAGAGTTCCGACCCCTTATAGAAAGAGAGGTTTTTTTCCAGTCTTAATGATTCTAATATTGTCTAGTCCAGCTGTTAACTATCCCTACCAGGCCCATTAAACCATGCCCCTCAGTGCCACATCTACCCTTTTCTTAAAAAGCTCCAATGGTTGCGACTCCATCACCTCCACAGGAAGCCTGTTCCAATGCATTATGACTCTTTCTGAGAAAATTTTTTTTCCTAATATCCAACCTGAACCTCCCCTGGCACAAATTCAGGCCATTACCCCTCTTCTTTTCACCAGTTACATGGGAGAAGAGTCCTATCCCCACCTAACTACAACCTCCATTTAGGTAGTTGAAGAGAGCAATAAGGTCTCCCCTAAACCTCCTCTTTCCCAGACTGTACAATTCCAGTTCAAATGATCAAGTACATTGGGGTATGTTTTTGAAATGAAGTTGATTCACATATTCAGAATGAAAAGAGGAAAAAAAGTTTAGTTAACACTGTTTGTATTATGACACATTCATTGCAAATTATTTCACTTTGCATTTCAAGACAACACAAATACCAGTTGGTCTCTGGGTGAAAACTTAGAACATGAAAGGCTGAAGAATCTTATCTACTCATTCCTTATATCTTTGCACACACCTTTTTTTCTCAACAATCCTACAGAGAAATCAGTAATCACAGTCTAAAACACTCAAAGTTAAAAATTAATATGCAATGCATTGCTGTAATGAAACTCCAAAACATCAGAATTCATGTTTCACTCAGGATAGACGAGAAGTGAAAAAAATATTTTCAGGAGAATGACAATGTTATTTGAAATAAAAGTGAACACATACTCTCACTACCAATTTATCTTTGAGATATTCTCCCTACAGATTTCTATTTCAGAATCAAGTTTGCAAAGTTATATATGAAGGAGAAACTAAACATTGCTACAGATAGCTCAAACTTACCAGTCTTCAAATCAGAAAACAAGAAATATGATCTCAGAGATTTAGAATGCATAAGTAAATACATGGATTAGAAAAAATATATATCCCTCTTTATCAAGAAGTATCTTCAATATTTAGCTAAATCAGTCAGGAAGGTGTGAAAAGTGAGCTGATCCATGTTTAAATAACTCTTTCTAAACTTTGAGTAGTGAAGTCATATTTGAAGATTTATTCAGAGAGGAAAATCACTGAACTTTCCTATGCACAGTACTATGCAGTAAATCAGAGTAATCTGCATTACAAATATTATAATGCAGTGAAGGGGAATAACACTTTCCAACAAACAATATAAGCACCACTGGGTGGGGGGTTGGGAAGACATTGCTGATTTTTCAATTTTTTTTTTTAAATCCTAATCTAAATATTAATAATATTTATAAATATTTATAATATTAAGAAAATTATTCGGGTAATTTGTTCCATCCCTTCCTTACCTTCTCTGGAGGTGCAGGAGGGTGAAATCTCTTTGCACAAACTAGAAATGCATCAGGCTGTGGCTTGCCACCCTTCACCTCAGGGTCATCTCCCAGCACAATATGATGAAAAAGACTGAAGAAGTCTTTGTGTCTGGATGTTTTCATCTGAAATGTCACTTCAGCTGAGCTAGTGGCAACAGCTATGGGTATGTTGTGTTTGTGTAAATGTTGGATCAGTTTATTGACTCCTGCAAGACAAATAGATATGTACATTTTATTCTATATTTATATATACATATTTGCAGTTATATGTATTAAAATTTCTGCCTATTTATGACATATTTAGCAATATTTCAAAAATGTTGTCTAACTGAATTTAACAACCTATTCTGACTGGTTAGTATCAAAGAGATTTCTTGCTATATCTGGAAAAGTTCTTGTTCCATCAAAGAATATTCCTTTAAGTATACAATGATTCCGACATCAAATGATTTTCTCAAAATATGCTGAAAATAACTTCAAAGCCATTGCATTTATATGCCCATAAGAAGCTTACTTGATGTCCTCAACTTTATAAGCATTTATTATTTCAAACATATCTAGAGTTATGTTCTTGGAAAAAAAGAATAAATAAACAAATATCAAAGAAATATGCTCTTCTCACTGACTGGTACAGTCTTTAATTTTTGAAACAGTTATCCAACTGGTTCAAACCAGCCCCTAAGAGTGCTTAGTATTTTTTTTTTTTTTTTTTTTTTACAATTACTAGATAAAGCAATTGGACAGAAAAGTGGAGCTGTCAATCACAGGTGTTAAAACCAGAGCTTTATCTATTGATGATGTGAACCCTGAGTAATGAACATCTTGACCACAATAGATAGAAATTTTAATCTGCTCCTATCTTCTAGCGAAGGTTAATGTCAAGAATGGTGAAAATACAGCAGTCACTGTAAGAAGGAAACACGCTTTGTTATTCAGTGCAAGTTTTGAATCTCCCATGCAAAGCCTTCAATGTTTCTTTGTAGCAGCATTCTGAACACGATACCTCTCTTTAGACTGCTAATTATCTTCAGCCCTGCTGCTTCAAAGCTTCAGCTCATCTGTCAGTGCATGTTTACTCTACATTTCTACTGGAGGTAGCCAGCCACAGAAAAGTGCTGTTGCTGAAAGGTTATTTACTCAAGGTTCTCTCTTATATGCTCTCAGCATAGGTCATGATTTCAGTGCATAAATGCGTGTGTATTTACCATCACTTTTTGACTTTCCTACCTATAAGACAGCTGTACCTAACACCATCAGAGAGCAAAGATTTACATTACTCAGAAAATATATTTCAGTAAAAATATATTCAAGTAATTATTTTAAAATTATATGTGCAAAACCAGCAAAATGGATTAGATGCTGAGCAGAGGGGAAGAACCATCTGTGTCCAGGTCTGGAGCCCAGTCTGGAGCGCCCAGTGCAAGAAAGACAGAGAGCTGATGGAGAGGGTCCAGAGGAGGGCCACAAAGATGATCAGGGTACTGGAGCATCTCCCCTCTGAAGACAGGCTGAGGGAGCTGGAGAAAAGAAGGCTGCAGGGGGCCCTAATTGCAGCCTTTCAGTACCTAAAGGGAGCCTACAAACAGGAGGGGAATCAACTCTTTGAAAAGGTTGACAACTGCAGGACAAGGGGAAATGCTCTTAAGTTGAAGGAGGGAAGATTTAGGTTGGATGTCATGGGGAAGTTCTTTATTATGAGAGTGGTGAGATGCTGGAACAGGCTGCCCAGAGGAGATTGTGGATGCCCCATCCCTGGAGGTGTTCAAGGCCAGGTTGAGTGGGGCCCTGGGCAGCCTGGTCTAGTAATAAATGCGGAGGTTGGTGGCCCTGCATGTGGCAGGAGGGTTGGAGATTCATGATCATTGAGGTCCTTCCAACCCTGGCCATTCTGTGATTCTGTGATTCTATGCAGACAAGAATACCAGTCTTCCCAGGTTTGTGTCATCTGCAAATTTACTGAAGGTGCACTCCATTCCAACATTCTGATCATTAATGCAGGACTGGACCCACTATTCAACCCTGAGATACTTTGCTCACTATTGGCCTCCAACTAGTCTTTGCATCACCGACCACTACCCTCTGGCCCTGGTTGTCCCCCCAGTCTTTCTGATCCACCTCACTGTCTGTTCATCCAACCTACGCTTCAGTAGCACCTCTATGAGTCTTAGACTGTATTGAAGCTCACTGCTTACCTCTTTAGTTATGACATTTTATACTGAAATGGCATTATTCATTATGATGTGAAAATTAATAATACACTTGTAACACCCAAAACCTAATTAAATTAAATTATGCTTCGAATAAACAGTGGAATTGTTAGTGACCAATTCTTTCATGACCATAACTATGTACTCTATCTCTCATCCATCTCTCTGTGCCATCCATATACTAGTGACATCCAATTAACAGTTTAACTGTTATGCAGTCCCCTGTAATTCCAGAGTTTATCTACACTATGTAGCCAATGACAATATAACTGTGCTTGAAAAGTCTTGTAGCTGAGAGGTAGAATATTCTGTGGAAGAAACAACATGGCCACAGACTCTTTTTTAGAGAACGATCTTGATCAACAGATTTTTGCCCTGTGCACTGAAATTTTTTTGGAAGAGATACACAGGTAACCATGTACTTTCTTCACATAACTTGCCAGCAAATTATGAGCACAAATACAACTTCACTCTCTTCTTGCTGACCTTCAGCACCCCAAGAAGTTCTTCAAATACATCACACAGTGTTGCTCCTCATTCACTGTGCCAGAGACAGCTTTCTACTCACACTAACAGCATGAGTGTAGAGGACACCTGATCTCTGGGTCACAAAAAACAAGGCACTTTAGACACCCACACTCAAGTCTACAAGTGATTACACAGAAGAAGTAGTCTGTGAGGCTTCAGTGGACATTAGAAAGAAAACATTCACTTCTGAGAAAATGGCTAAAGAAGAAGTGCTTCACATGTTTAAATTAACTATGTACATGCATTATGCTTGTCTTGTATGATTTATGGCCAGTTGTGAACAAATGGAAATCTTAAATATAGTTTATGTCTAGAAAGACTACTCTTTCTTTTAAAAATCATTTACAGTTCCTGTGTTAAATGTAACATCAGATCCAAATAAAAGCTTTTCAAGATTTCATCACTCTTTTTAATCAAAGAAAAGCTAACGTTGCCACTCAGGGTTTAGTCAAGTTGATTGGATTTTTAGCCAATTCAACAATAATCCTTTAAGATCTTAAAAGCAATTTACAGTAAAAATCTCAACTGCAACAAAGCATAAAAAGTACTTAAAGAGAAAATAAATCTTACTGAGAACAATAAAAGCCGACTTTTCACCTATGCCACAAACTGATTTTAAAATATTTTTATGTGCTAAAAGAGTTCCAAGCCCATCAGAACAGTGCTATTCATTACCAGCACATTCTTTATCCTCAGGTGAATTCAGTATTGCTGCTACGATGGTGATAGAGTGACGGAGGTGGGACTATCCAACACTTGGTGTAATTGCCACAAATCTCGTGAGACTGTGGAAATATCTCTCTCATATCCACCTGTTTCGTTTTTGTTCCGAGACATCATTTTTTTTAAAAAAAAAGCTATCTGTAATGGTACATTATCTTTTCACTGAGTTTCAGAAGTATAGATGGAAAATAATAACCTACTCCTCATCTGGAAAAATAATTGGCTATAATGAAGAATTCTATCTTCTTACTTTTCTCTAAAGAGCACCAAAGATTCTTCTAGAGCCATTGGGTCTCCTTGTTTATCAAGCCATTAATTTTGTCATAGTCTAGACATTCTGACACAGGTAAGCCCACGAAATGGTAAGCCCAAGAAATACAGGTAAGCCCAAGAAATACAGGTAAGCCCAAGAAATAAATATGATGCATAAGTATTACTGTTCTTTATCAATCAAAATTCAAATCTTATTTCCCAGAAAAAATTGTCAAAATAGATTGAAATTAGAATGCCAACTGTCTAATAGCTGTCAAGTTGACCAGATAGAGGCTCGTCATGTCAGAATAACCTTACTCCTTCCAATATCAAGACAATTAACTTTTACTTTCCTGTATTTCCTGATTACAATCTGAAACACCAGATTAGTCAGAGAACACTGTAAACCTAAAATGTCACCATTACCTTACATCTTAGACAACACCTGCATGATCATTCTTAATTAAAGAATATTAAAAAGCAGCAGAATAAATCCACGAGGCTTATATTAAATAATGTTCTCAGAAGATATAAAAGTACATAAGAAAGGTATCAATTAAAAGACTATAGCTATCAGAATGAAGCATAGGTTAGTCTTTAAATAAAATTAATACTAAGCAGCTAGTGCAATTTTTTCTAGATTAATACCTAACATCAATCTGGTTTTCTTAAAATTCATGGTAATTCACTTCTCATTCATTGGTACAAAGTACAAATCCCATTGCTTCAGTGACTAAGCCTGCATTTGATCCTCACATTGGCATAAAGAATTAAGTATTTACATTAACATTAATTCTGCGTTAGAGAATTGTCTGAAGAAAATTATCCCATGTATACAGTTGAACTGAAAGAGTAACCAGTTGAACAATTCTGGCAATGATAAAAATGTCTACGTTTGCCTCAGTAAGAATTTTTCTTGATTCATCTATAATAGACAAGCAAGCCCAGAACTCATTTTTTGAAGTAAGAAACAGTGCAAACCTTAATGTTTCCTTTGCTAATTTATTCTATCACCTCTCTGCATCTGTATTCAAGCTACTTCTCTGACATTAACATAATCCCCAGCAAATATAGACTATTCACTCAGTGGCATCTACTACATGTGCTGCTCCATTAAAGTGACTCTCCTCTGTGATTTCTAACACTTCCACCACTGATCTATCTATCCAACATTTTTTAAACCCAGACAAAGGTTTTCTTTGTCTTGCATGAGATAAATCTGCAGAAGTTTGACATAAAAAAATGAAAAAACAAATTCCTCCATCATTTTTGTTTACCTAGCAAGCTTAACTAGGCTTACAGTCTTTGTTGGATCTACATGTGAGAAAGGCACAGTTGCAAAAATGCTATATATAAAAAGCATCAGAGAGACATGCAGATAAGTTGGCTGAGCAGGAGATTCAAATTTTTAGTTACCTAAGCAAATACATATTTTCTTTCTGCTTCTTTTTATTCGGTTTTAACACATCACATATTTTTAACAACTAACCTCTTAATGCCTTATGGGACTAGGTATAAGAAAAGGATCTAAAAATTAAAATGATATAATTAACGTGCTGCAGCAATTGCCAGAAAACAAACACACAAACAAAAAAACAAGCACACACTGAAAGAGAAAAAAGTCTCTTTGGAATTGTTTTAGTGACATGTAGTGACTTCATTTAAATACACATATATATATATATATATATTTTTTTTTTTTCATTTCTCCCACACTTCCTTCTTTTTTTCCCCCATAAATTATTGATATTTGCTCCAGGACTTTTTCTTTTCTTTTTTTTTCTTTTCTTAGAAAAAGTTAACAGCAGTTCTAGCTTTAAATATTGCTTATGTTTTTATGGATGAGGATTCTTCTCTAAGCATTCCACATGTAAATGTAATGGAATAAAATGCATGAGTTTATATCATAAATGAGATTCATAAAAAAATAAAAATGGGCAAATACATTTACCTGTACATAAAAATAATATCTGGGCTTAAAGTTGGACTACAGAAAAATGACTTACTGTGTTAAACAGTTGCCAGTAACCATTCTAAAGAATTCCTAGTTTATGAAACTGAACTTGGGCATATTCACATTGCTTTTTATTCTGTACTTAAAACACATAAAGAGCAGCTGTTTCAAGTAAATAAAAAAAAAAAAAATCAGTACTTTTAACAGACAAAATATCTTTCACAAGTAACAGATTTGAATAAAACTTGCTAAAGCAAGAGAGATGAAACTGAGTCTCTAAGAGGAACTTTTACTGACATCAGATTAAAAAATTCTACTTTGGCTAGCAGTTAGCTAATTCCATAAGCAGTTTATAAATACTAAAGAGAAGCATACCTGGCATCAATTCAGCTGTATGGAATATCTTCTCCTGCTTCATTTTACTTTCATGTAGTAACTCCTCTTTGGTTATTGGAAGATCTAGAACATCTCGAATAATCTGTGCCCCTTCTAGTGCTTTTTTACCCATGACTAATGATTTTATATCCCAAGTATAGGTCTTTCCAAAACGCCCACATATCTCTTCAAATACCAATGTATAGAGACGTTCAGTATCTGCCAAAAAACAAAGAAACAAAAAAAGAAACAACAATAGATTACAAATACATGCAGCCAGTTGACCAGCCAGTCTTAACAAACAGGATAGCGTAAATGATCATATAGCACTCTTCCAGGAATAAGAAAGTATATTGTCTCACCGAGAGAAAGCAGCCTTCTATGATCACTTCAGAGATATGTGGGTCCTTCAAGCTGTCCCTTCTATATTCAGAAAAGGTTACTGAGGTTTACAACAAAGAACTATCTAGACCTATTCTTCCATCAACTTTCTTTTCCATTGGCAGTTTACATTACAGGTTAGCAACCACTGACTTAATTAAAATGCTGTACTTATTCCTTGAATGGGAAAGAAAAGAAAGGAAGGAAATCTGGTTCTCAGGGATGTCATTACATATTCCATGTAAATTGGGGGAAAAAAAATTAATTATTTAAGAGGATCTTTGAACGGAAGCTTCAGAGTGCTTTCAAAAGACACTACAGTCATTATTATAGTGCTGCTGGCATATTTGCATTTACATGTGATTACTCAAGCAGAACACACCTACTTGATTTCTTGGATTTCCAAGGGGGTTGTGGCAAGAGTAAACTTCAGGCTGAATTTTGCCAGTGAAAGGTGTTTATTGTTTCAATTTTTTTTTTTTTTTTTTTTTTTTAAATAACAGTATACAATCCTTCCTGTCTTTCCATATGATAAATCATTGAAGGAGGTCAATAACGTTTAATTTGACACCACACAGAGGAAGAACAGTCCTTTTAGCTCTTGATTTCATTTTTATGAAGATCCTGAACAGAGGTATTTCTACTAGACTGTTTATCTTTTTGAGTTGTCTCATTTGGAACAAAACTACTGTTGTTACCCATCCTTTAATTTCCTTCTCATGCATTTTTTTGCCTTCTGTACCTCTAAAGGACTGCTTATTATTATCATGTTAGCAGTGAAAGACAAAAGTAACGAAAGAAAGTAGCTGCATTTATGACATTTGTCTAGCGAGATCAGGGACTTATCTTGTCACCATATCTTTTGCTATGCAAAAATATTTTTATAGGGAAAATAAAATACTGAAATTATTCATGGGCACCTTGCCTTACTTTCTGAATACTTAGGATGTAAGCAACAGCATTTAAATTGTAAGACAATATAGGTACTATGAAAAAGACAATGAAGAAAGAAAAGCAGAGCCTACGGCTACAGTATACCCAGTGACCTTCCTCTGCAGTCTGACAAATGCTCACTGCTTAACCTAGTAATCTGCTTGTCCTGAGATCAGCAGATGGTTCTGATCTGAAATCAAATGAGAAACATCACTGCACCTATATCATTGTGTGACCACATAACAGTGCAGAAGACATGCATTGCTGCCTGCCAGAACAATCTCTTTCATCTTTTCCTTCAATAACCAGAAAAGATGTTGAGCCAAAAGAAAAGCTAGAGAACCAGTGCACCTGTCTGCTCTGTTCAACAGAGTAGCAAACTATTTATAAAAAGTTCTTTGCACAAATATAAGAGAAAAATAATAACAGCTGATGTACAAATGCTTCTCAGCCAATCATAATTAATGGGAAAATGTTAGGAGTAACCTAGAAAGTCATAAAACACACATCAAATGCATCACACTATGCATCTGAATCAGAAGAAACACAACTGGCTTGGCATTAAAAAGCGATAAGCTGGCTAGCACCAGGAAGAAAAAAAAACAAACCTTGTTTGCTTTACACTGCCAGGTAATACACTGCCAGCAAGCTGAGAAGGTGAGTTAAGAACAAAATGCTTCAATTTTCACAGTTCTTTCCTTCTATTTCTCAGATGTATTGATTTTTCTTGTACATCATTTAGGGTCAACTGTTGACCCTAAGTTGAAAATTGAAACTGAAAATTAATCCTCATCTTATTAAGCAACACACAGCAAACTATGCAGAAATAAAACGAAACAAGGAATTAAAAACCTAGTTGCAGAGCAAGGTGTTTTTTTTTTTTTTTCCTGTCTGTACAATCATTCCATTAATCTATTTGAAAGTGAATGACTAAACTGTATAGCTACTCAACTTAATAGCCTCCTGCATTTAAATATCACATGCTATACTTGAGAACAAAATCTTGTCTTCTTAAATAAATGCTTAATAATGTCTAGATTACAGACTAAAAAATGTTAGATAATGGTGAAGTTAGCAGACCAAAGAGCACTTATAAACAACCTTGTGTCAAACCTATTAAAATAATTAAATATTATGCTACTTGCATTGCATTGGAAATTAGTTCTCTTGACGCCAATAGAAATAATAACTAAAAAAAAAAAAAAAAGGAAAAACTCTGGTCAGTATACAAATAATCATTCATATATTTAATTTAAATGTGAATTAGTCTCACTTGTGCTTGAAGCAACACAAATACTTAAATAAACAGATTATCAGAAAGCCTTCTTTCCTTCCCATTCTGTATTTCACTTGCTCAAACAGACATGAGCCACTACACAGCACAGAAAGAAAATATGAAATCTGAGAAATAGAAGTTACACCCCAACTGCACACATACACCACACAATCTCCAATCACAATCTGAGAAGACTACTACTGGAAAAGACACAGGTTTTGGATAAGCGTAACAGCTAAGGACATGCAATCCTTTTGACTAAACTAACAAAAATCTGTATACCCCTCTTATAACCACACAGCAGTAACTAAATACCTATACAAATTCAAGTCTCCAAGTCTGGGAGATCTGAAAAAACTAATCAATTGTGACCTGACAATACAGAGGACCAGCACATTCTTTAGGGTTTCTTCTCAGACTGAGGGCTGTGGTTATAATTAGAGATTTATCATTGCATAAAATAATTAACAATCAGTGTAGGTTATTGTATATAATTTGTAGCTCTTAGCGTTGCTCATATTTCCACAGATTTTCTAAAATTTTGTGTTACATGGACCTTTCAGTCACCTGAATTCTTTTCAGATCCAAATTCCTATCAATCAGCATGCATTATAATCGTGACCTGGAGTCACACATTACATAGAAAATCATGAGTCATTCAGTCCTTGGAGTAAGATACTGGTGGAGGCATCCTCGGCCATGGGACAGCATAGGCTTTGCTCTCTAGCAGCAATTCCAGCCTAAATCCCACTTAGGGCTTGGAGCTGCCTGACTTTAAAACACTAGGCAGTGCTATGCGTATTTTCATGTTTCCCTGTTTAAAGACAGGGGTCACCACATCTTAGTGACACAGCAGCTGGGAAACACTAACACTGATGGGCTTAATCAGACATTGATTGGAGTCCCCCACACTTGAGTCTTGGTATCTCTATTGTACTTATCATTCTGACAGTGCGTGACCACACAGTTCTGTGGCCAGAGAGAAGAGGGAGAAGGGGACAGAGTTGTAAATTCACAATCTGCTTACACAGTATGGATATTTACCCTACTACAAGCTAACCATATCACCGTATGTCAGGAACAGGAGAGACCAGTCATACATACAAGCTAAGCTAGGTTTTCGCCCAACTGTAACAAGAAATAATCCACAAAAGCTGATTTACAAATGTTTAAGTAAGGTCAGAAACTATTATTGACTATAAAGAAATGACTATAAATGAAATTGAAGTTCAATTCAAGCACATCAATGTAGGCATCCAGCGGTATCTTAATAAGTCCAGACATTCATAGAGCCAATGAGGCCCACACCAGACTGCAAGAGTAGCTGGAGGTTTAGCCAGGTGCTATACAGCAACCCAAATTGTGATAAACATATATGTTTATGAAAGTGAATTTGACTCCAGCTGCTAGCTCACATTAGGAACATTTATCAAGAACACAGCAAGACACATGTGGCTGTGGTCTGTTCCAACAGGAAGAAAAAAAGCAAGATTTCTCAGCCCCTGAAATTGGCAGCAAATGTATTAACTTCAGCTTTATTGTCTCCTGCTTTTCAAAATATTCTTAATATTTCCAATTGCCATTCTTTGGTGCATCTTTTACATAGACATCATCAGCATGATGCACTGCTCATCCACTAATCACAGTTCACTGAGAATGACTGACATGCATTCCCCAACCACATATCATCTTGCAGTCATTTTTATATCAATTGTTCTACACAAAAAGCAAAAGCATCCCCACTGATGCTGTTTACAGTATGTAAAACCCAATCATAACAAATACAAATAAAGAGACAAGAATGACATAGGTGCCAGATTGCTCAGCTTGTGATTGAGCAAAAAAAAATGCTAGCATACATGCAGAAAAGTCTATAGGTCACTTGGCAATAGACACAGTGGAAGACATGGGTGTATGAGCTGTTCAAATCACTGCAGTCAGAAGTGCAGGCCTACCTAGGTTAAGGGTACAGCAGGCACCAATTCTTATCTAAACCTCAGTTTCACCACTGCTTACTTATACAACATGGCTTAAGACAGAAAATTATGACTTGGTGAATGAATTAGGAACTTTCTTTTTATATGACTTCTGAATGTGTGCAAGTAATTTTATAACACATTTAAAATTATCTCCAGCTTATCAAGGAAATAAGGTTAGTACAAGTACATAAAAGTTTATCTTAGCTGTTCGTTTTGAGTTTGAATAAACCATTCAATCTTTGTTACAAATTCCCTTGATGCAATATATCTATGATTAATATTTAAGCTAGAAGTAAACAGAACTTCAATCTTATGAATTCAATACTTTCTAGTAAGCCAAAATCAGATCCAGACTAAAATTGCCAAGATTTTTATTTTGATAGAGGAGAGAGAACTTGTTAGGTAAAGAGGAAATTTTAATTCCAGCAAAAGGTTTATTACGTCCATAGTCATGAAGCAGGTTTTTCTCTGTGTGGAAGAGAATTATCTTAAGTATTCATTTAAGACAAATTCAAACTTGAATGGTCATTCTTATCACAATTTTGGCCCACATATGAGAAAACCTCATAAGATTTTGTCATCAACACAGAATGAATTTACACATATTACTATGATTTTGCTTTCCTATTAGTATTTCACAACGCTCCCTC